GAAGGGAATAGCGTTCCAGACGGTCGCTGAAGCGCATCTGAAAGCACGCGATGCGGGGACCGTCTTTGTTCGGTGGCCAGTCAAAAGCCGCTGCTGCTACAAGGATGACCGGAGTTCACGTGATTTTTTATGATGCTTGACGATATCAGCGAGGAATTGTGGTTCATTCCAAGTGTTGCATCCCACTGAGATTTTTGCACAGCGTTGGTGTACGGTGCTTTTTTTTCTGGAAGACTTAGCAGTTTTTTCCTGGATTTTTCTGTTTGCGCATAGTCACTTTAAGATGTTTTCTTGTTCATGTTTTTGTTTGTTGCGGTTGCACCCGATTCAAGAGCCGAATGGCTCACAGGACTATACCTAATAAATGAAACTGAAACTGAAAACTGTGTTGTGGTTAATTTGTGGCAAGCACTTTGTGTGGCGCAGGCCAAACACTCATTGGAGACCTTGTCTGAGCGCACCTATTCAGACCCTGAACCCTGGTTCATGAACACGGTCGAAACCCAGGGTCACTTGAAATGGTCCGCATGTAATGGGCAGGATCTTTATCACAGTAGAGTGGTGAATTATCCATCACTTTGTAAAACTGTAACACACCATATAGATGCAACAGTCATTAGCTAACTGAACATTTGACTAACCTTCGTAAAATGCCCAGCAACAAACAACTCTACCACAATTATCAGCGGCATTTATCCTAAACAGGCACGAGCCCGACTTCAGTGCAGACTAAAGTGAAATATCTCTGCCCCTGCAATACAACAAAGGTCTTACGAGAAGGCGTACTTCATCATCCTTTGCTCCGGAGAGCGATCGCTTCATCGTCAGAGGCGATGCAAGGGCATTATTTCGGTCTTCAACCAAACGAGTTCATTAAATAAACATCGTTGTTGTTGTTTTTTAAATCATAATTATTGTACTTTCGCATATTGTTCGGCGTAATATTTTCTCTTCCAAGAGAGAGCTCCCAGCACCGTGGCGAGAATAGCCGCACATCTCGTCGAACGAGCCGGGAACGATATCCCACCCCCCCCCCCGTAATACAGGGTGCTTCAAAAAAATGTTAACACTTCAGAGAATTGGCAACAATACCACAAGAAATGTGCCTCCGGGCTCTGGAGAAGGGGCGGTTTCTTCATTAGGGCGATTGGGCGACGCACCACCAATGTCATTCAACCACAGAGTCACGCTAGCCGTCACTGTGCCTCTGGATATAGTCCAAGCAGCGTCATGTCACGTTCTGTGGAGTACCGCCTCTTTTTGGGCGATTTCACTCCGGCTGAGAATCGCACCGAGTGGCCCCATAGACTTACATTCAAATATGTTTTTTTTTCGACCGGGGGGCGCTGCAATGCATTCTCTATGGCTTCCGGGAGGGCTCGCCCTAACGTGCTTACGTCATCATACGTAAGCACGTTTCATCCAACAATATAATTTGTCGCCACCTAGTGGAATCTTTAATAAAAGAAACTTGAGTGGATTGTATTAATAGTGAGTATAGAAACAAACAAGATGTATTGTAAGAGTCACTTTATTTTTCATTAATATTAAAGAAGTGAAGTTGCCTTTACATGCTTAAGCTGTTAATGTATCCATTGCATGGGTGGACCTTATCCTTATCAATCATCCAGACATTTGCCCCCCCCCCCCCCCCTGAGAGATTTTGCAGGAGCCGCCACTGCTCTGGAGACCACCTGGAGAAGATTCCAGGCACGTGTTGACAATGATGGCGAAACAAGTGGAGACCCTTTGCCTTTTTGAAGCTACTAACATACATTTGCTATCATGTTACAGTGAATTATCCGCTCTCTTCCCATTAAAAACGATAGTCCCAGAGAAGTGTTAACATTTTTTGAAGCACATTGTATACGACCGCCCCGGGCACCACGCTTGGGGGGGGGGGGGGGGTCTCACGCCTCGACGTCACGGTGTTAGATGCAACACTTTCGCTTTATTTATAATCAACGTTTTTGGGTTATATCGATGTATTTATAAATGTGTCGTAACCCTCCACCACCCGACACGGCCAAATCAACAAAAAAAGTGTCACGTTGACAAAAGACAAATAGTACACTGCTTTAGCCCACCGGTGTGTTGAACCGTGAAACCACAACATTTACCATTTTTGAGTTGTACGACGTTCCGCTGGTAATTGCATCCAGCATCATCGGGCAATTCGCCAGAATGGTGAGGTTCTGCTCTTGCTCCCGGTCTTAAATAGAGCAGCAGCATTTATAAAAAAACGCGATCTAACCCAAAAACGTTGATTATGAATAATATTGGTCGCGAAAGCCTACGTGTTAAACTGACTTTCGCTTTAGTTTGAAGGCGTCGTGATGGGGGAGAGTTGGGGGGGGGGGTCCCACACACGTTGGGGGTTTGCCCCGGGCCCCGCATCTCCCTCCCCCCCATATGGACGGCCCTGCCTACAGGTGTCGCAAATGCCTTCATATCATAAAGTATTCGCTCGAATGTGAGCGGGAAGCAACAAAGAGTGGAATCGAACGGACACGAGCCATTTTCATCTTGACAAATTATGGATTTCCAGTGCGTTGACAAAAAGCTTTCACAGCACAAGGCCAAGCAGAGATGTGGTAAGACTCGAGGTAAAGTTGCTGAAGCAATTACAGAAGAATGCACAATTTCAAACAATGTCGCTATATTCTATGGTTCTTTCGGTAAAGTCGCGTAGATAGAAGAAAGAATAAAAATAAATAAAAAATAAAGTGATTAAAAATATCACGACGATTCGATCTCAACACAAGCGACCATAGAATATGAATTCCTGGGGTCATGAAAAGTTTTAAATCAAAATGTAATGTCGCTATATACACGTGCGCGTATGCAGCTCACTCTCCCACTGTCGCAACACAAGCAGTCGTCTGTCGTGTACGGTGTGTTCGCACAACGCATTAAAATGAGATGTACTCTTTGGTTCTTTCGGTAAAGTCACGTAGGTAAAAAATAAAAATATAGAAATAAAAAATAAATAAAAGTAAATTAAAGCACGACGTTTCGATTGCAACACAAGCAATGATCATCAGGTGTGAAATCCCAGCTATAATTTTTTTTACTAAAGTGGGAGAAATGCCAGGGCTAAGGAGTTTATATAAGTGTCCCAGTCCCTGGGGTCTCACGTCCCAGTCCCTGACGTCCACACTTGTATAAACTCCTTAACCCCGGCATTTCTCCCACTTTAGTAAAACAACTCCTAGCTGTGATTTTCACACCTGATGATGAGTGCTTGTGTTGCAATCGAAACGTCGTGATTTAATTCACTTTTATTTATTTTTTATTTCTATTTTTTATTTTTTACCTACGTGACTTTACCGAAAGAACCAAAGAGTATAGATCCTCGCAGTCACTAAAACTTCAAATCTAGAATAAAATGAGATGCGCAAGGAATATTGATTTGCGCGCTAAATATTTAGCAATTGCAGTCCGTGCCATAGAAATACGTTACGGGAAGCACAACTTTGTTCCGTACGATTGTCACATTTTAATGAGAATTGTAATTGACGGTTAGGCGTATTTTGTGACACTTGCGAATTCAGTGGGGGGTAAAAATTTCAATACACAATGATAAGTGAAATAATTATAAGAAACACAACGTCACAAAGCTCTGCCCTCCCCCCCAAAACCATATTTCCATTTTGAAAATAAAACATGCTTCAAATCGCTTTAAACTATTGTCATTGTAGTGCGTATTTAATGTGGCGCTGCACTCTGATGTTGTAGGTGAAAACATTTATTTAAAAGTCTATTTCATTAAATAGAACGTGTTGTCTATATTTATTTAAAGTTGCGCATTTTGATGTGACATCACATTTCTCAACCCCCCCCCCCCTCGTCACACATCGTTACAAATGTCTGACCCCCCCCCAGGTGCGTGACGTCATTTATGGACGGCCCCTAAACACAAACAAAAAGACAAAAAATACTAATTGCTCGTATTGAAACGGCTATACGCAGTATTGACCTGAAAACTCAATTTCACCGTACGAGAAAAAAAACGGTTAAACCGTGTGGGTTGACAGGTATGGAGTGATCTTCTTGGTTCTTTCGGTAAAGTCACGTAGAAGGAAATAATAAAATAATACAAATAAAACATAATCAAATAATTCTCACGACGTTTCGGCCACAGCACAAGCAGCCGTCTTCAGGTGGAGAACAGGTCTGTCGAGAAGGCAGAGTCTGAATTGTGATGTCGAGAAGACTCTGCCTTCTGCCTTCTCGACAGACCTGTTCTCCACCTGCAGACGGCTGTTTGCGTTGTGGCCGAAACGTCGTGAGAATTATTTTTTGTATGTGAAATTTTTATTATTTTATTATTTCCTTCTACGTGACTTTACCGAAAGAACCAAGAAGATGAATCCCTGCAGTCACGAAAGCTTTAAATCGAAAGGTATGGATTGTTCATGGATAAACTCACACTTGCCCCAAGAAATCCTAAAGATTGAACGGATGAACAGAATTCGCTTCCTCTGCTTTGCCGTCAATCTTCCTAAACATGCCCCTCCCCCAAACCTCCTACGCATTTCACAAGTAGTACTAATCACACACCTGCATTTCCCATAAATATGCTAAATTCCTCTTGATATGCAAATTATTTTGTCAAGACGCTCTTCGCCCCCCCTCCATCCCCGCATAAATAGTCGCTCCAAGCCTGGAGCGTGCCATTCAGACTCTGCCTTCTCGACAGACCTGTTCTCCACCTGAAGACGGCTGTTTGCGTTGTGGCCGAAACGTCGTGAGAATTATTTTTTTATGTTTTATTTTCATTATTTTCCTTCTACGTGACTTTTACCAAAAGAACCAAGAAGATGCCCCTCCCCCTCCCTCCCCCCCACCCGTTACGTAACGACGTCATCACGTTGCCCCGAAGCGTCGTGCGCGATGACGTCAGCCTGGCGGCGGGGGGGGGGGAGCGCCTCGGCCAATCGGCGGCGCGCTCGTGGTAGCACGTGCTCCATCCGCGCTTCCGCGTCACGTGCGTCGCCGCCGCCCCCCCCCTCGCGAGAGTGGTAAACAGTCGAGCGCTAAAAGAGTGTCTCCTGCCGCCGCACTCTCCCTCACGGACTTCGTCTAGACGACGAGACGTCTTGTTTAAACTCACCTCGAATGGACATTTACGATTAGCAAGCATCCGCGAGTGTTCGTAGGTCGCGATAATGTTTGCATGCAGCTGCCGCTCGGCTTTCTGTGTCCGCTGTCGGGCAGCCGAGGCGGGCCGGCCTCTCGCGACCCCGAGACATCGGCGTTGATTCCCTCCCCCCCCCCCCCCCTTTGTTTTTTTAAAAACAAATTAAACATTTAAATCGTTTTTTACGTCGCGCGAAGCTACAGTCATGGGCGACGCGGACAAGTTTTTCTACATCTACAGTTGCGACCTGGAGTTGAACGTTCAACTCAAAATGTAAGACGACCAAATCCGCCTCCGTCGATGTTTAGGATACGTCTGTACACTCACTGTACGTTGAACTTCTTTCGCGCCGTACGTAGCCAACCGCGCTCGACGGAGGAGCGGGGGGTGTGGAATGACAGCAAACTAAACACACCCAGAAGCTGTTCAAGAGAAAATTAGTTTTCAATCGAGATTACCTTCACGTGCCTAGCTCCACTGGGCTTCCTAATATCTGAAGGGGAGAGCGTTCCAGACGGCCACAGAAGCGCATCTGAAAGCGCGCTAAGCAGGTGACCGTCTGTGTTCGATGGCCAGCGTACAAAGCGGCTGTAACACGTGTGTTGTGTCTTAATCAAGTGCCGCGGTATGTATATATTTTTTAGGAATTATAGGATATCAAAGAGCCTCAACGTTAGCAAGCTAGGGTAGACGAACTCTCCGTGCCGTTCAGTGGCCGATCCCCCCCACCACCACCCATCTAACTGACCTCCTTGACCCCCCCCACTCTCACGGTCGCGCTTGATGCGCAGTTTGGCATTTTATATTTCGGTGATCCGCGCAGATAGGAGGCAGCTCGAATGCGCTGTACCGTGTGGAACTTAAAAAACAAGTTTGAGAAGCACTGCGACTTGACCGCTTTGGGATTTAACGTGGTCAAATAAAGGGTGGCCATTTGCATACTTCTGTCTTTGCACGGCGTATTCGAAATAATGATTTCCTGCAAGTCAGATCCATCCCGGAATGCCAGGGCCGTTACCCGAAACGTTGCCTATGATATATATTTTTTAAAGCTAGAGTGTTATTGACGAGAGTGTTGTTTTGTTCATTGTGCCTGTGCGCCACTGCCAACGCAGTTTCATGTGTCAGATCTAGCAGTCTTAGCAGGATTTTTGAGCCGAGAGAGTGATTGCATCGGTGACCACAATGCACAACAGGTGTTATAGGCTGCAGGAGCTACGTGGAGGGCCGCAAAGAATAGTGCAGCAAAAACACTCGTCCTGCAGTTATAAGCTCCCACGTCTATGTTCAACCTGCGTTGACCAGCATGGTGAAGTATGGTCAAATAAGACCCACGACCCATGCGGTGTGCGGAGGCACCAATCCAGCAGTGGATTGGCATGTATTCAGATGAAGGTGTCAGAAGGAGAGATGCGGGTTCAAATCACTGATTTGTGGATTCAACGCTTCATCTCTTTGTGGGCGATCAAATGAGCGCCCCATTGTGCGAAGTGAACATGATGTCCTGCAGATGGACAGGTCCCCTGCCATATGAATGTGGAATTTAATTTACGCCACTTACTCAAGGCTGTGAACGGATGTGCTTCCCCCAATATTCATTTGAATGGGAAACCACTTTGACTTGAGGTTTTATTCAAAATTACAGTTGATCTGATCCTTTATTTGAGTGAAATAGGAAATGGCGGCATAGTCGTTTGTGCCACTGCACTATGTGGCAGAGTATTTTGAGAAAAAAGTATTTTGATTGCTCACAGAGCAATGCACTTTTTTGACTTTAGAGAATGGCCTATATAAGATGATATCAAAGAGCTACTTCTGACAACCCTTCAAGTGACCTGTTCCAAAAATTAGAGGCTTAGGACTTTCCCACTTGGTCTGCTATATTAGGGTAATGTCCGTCACATGGCAGCCACACCGATATTTTAACTCTCAGAGCTCGAATTCAGTCCCAATTAAGGGGGGAGCCAAATTTAATTGTTTTTTTTGTGTGCAGTACTTGGTGAGTGACCTGGCTGAGACGATCAACTCACTGTGGCTTGCGAACCCGGATTTATCACAGGTGGCTGAAGCCCGGAATTGAACCCATGATCTCAGCGGTGCCGGCTCACCTCTCTGATCAATGAGCCATCTGGCCACCGCTAAAAAGGGTTATATTATTAGTAACTTACCAATTTGATTTAAAGCTTTCGTGACTGCAGGGATTCATATTCTTGGTTCTTTCGGTAAAGTCACGTAGAAGGGAAATAATAAAATAAATATAAAACAATAGAAATTCTCACGACGTTTCGACTGCAACACAAGCAATCAGCATCAGGTGTGAAATCCACACCTGATGATGATTGCTTGTGTTGCAGTCGAAACGTCGTGAGAATTTTTATTGTTTTATATTTATATTATTGTATTATTTCCCTTCTATGTGACTTTACCGAAAGAACCAAGAATATAACTTATCATTGCTAATTATTTTGTCTCCTTGTGGGGTTACCTCTCAGAGGTAGCCTGGAGGGCAAGCGGGAGCAGAAGAGCTACAAGGACCTACTGGATGACCCCATGCTCAAGTTCTCCGGGCTGAACCAGGAGTCATGTTCACACCTGTACGTCACAAGCCAGGTGTTGGGAGACGGAAGGCCGCTGGCTCTACCTACACGCACCGCCTACAAGCCCTTCAGCACGCGCTGGAAGTACGTGTAGAACCTGCAGCCCTGGAATCAATGCAAATTAATTGCACTTTTGGTATTCGCGCAATTCTTTAGAGTGCAAGGTTATCGCCGAGGCGCTATGTTTTACAGATGAACATAGCCTGCGGAAGTTTGACGGTAGGGGACGGAGGTTGTTGTGTGGGTTTACCCAAATAAGTAATTTGCAAGCGATTCTCAATTTATTTTTTAATTGGACCAAAATCAGTGAACCTGCAGTATCAACCCCTGCTTGGTTTGAATTGTGAACCAATACAACAACTCGCAAGAGTGCTACCGTTTGGCTGGCCGTATTACTATTACTATCCCAAAACCCATGTTTTACTCGTTTGAGTTGTGAATCCTGCCAGCCACGGTTAAAATTTTCATTGAATAATTCCTGTGTCGCTGCTAGACCAGAGTAGGCAAGCGGCTAGCAGCCACAGCCATACTGGATGTGGTGTGAAATCCACCATCCATTTCAGTTTAAAAGTTTGTCCAATACAGATATAAGACAATTAAAACACAAGCTGAATTCAGCTCGTATAGCAGGTATGTAAATTTAGGCACCGAAGGAGAGATCGTAATAGTTTGTGGAGGCCTTCATCCCGCAGTGGATTGGATGATATTGATGAACATCAAAGTGAAGTTAAAACACAGTTGAATGTATGTACGTTGAACTCCTTTCGCACCGTACTTAGCCAACTGTGCGAATCGGAGGTGCTAATCTGGAGTTGTCATATGCTTGCAATGTAGTGAGCCACACAATCACGAGCTTCGTTCCCATTAAAGCAGCCTGAAATTAGTGGTTGTTACACGTCTGTAAAAATACAGACTCGCTTGATGCATGCGGAACATTCAGCGTAACATGGAGGCACATGACAGGGCAATGGGGTTACTCTCCGTGAGTCATGTCATTTATTAAACAAGCGCACTCAATTGTTCATATTCTAACCAGGGCCATTGGTGCATTTGCCTATTGCCAATCACCCTTTTTATTCTGGTTGTCTTGAATGTTTTGTATGAGATGGTTTATTTTAGCCATTGTCATGTAAGGATAATGTTATTATAAGTTCATCATCTTTTTATAAATGTATTAATAAAATGCGAGGAATTTAATGCCAGTAGAGGGTAAGCATATGTATGTATGTACGCTGAACTTCTTTCGCACCGTACGTAGCCAAGTGTACTAATCGGAGTTTCCCGAAATTGCTTGTAAATCTTTGAACATATTCACACGTGTCAGTGGGTTGCCATTGGTTTATGCCCATAAAATTAGAATCTAAAGCGTTATAACAACATTGTATGAATCTTGATTTGAAGCTTTCGTGACTGCAGGAATCCATACTCTTTGGTTCTTTCGGTAAAGTCATGTAGGTCGACAAAATAATAGATCACGACGTTTCGATCGCAACGCAAGCGACCGTCTTCAGTGAGAGTTCACAACGGTCGCTTGCGTTGCGGCCTCAACGTCGTGATCTATTATTTTGTCTACCTACGTAACTTTACCGAAAGAACCAAAGAGTAATTCCTGCAGTCACGAATGCTTCGAATCTAGTTTCTATTCTATACAATTTTTCTGTAAATTGACTGTTTGGCATGTCGTCGACATGCCATATATTACTCTGGAAAAGCATTTCAGGTTTGTTGTTTGTCCTTGCCCTACCTAACCCGTGACCCTCGCGCGTGTCCTGTGCGCGTGTGTTGTGGTGCAAGTTGGAACCAGTGGCTGCAGCTGCCCGTGAAGTTTGCTGATCTGCCGAGGAACGCGGTGCTTGCACTCACCGTGTGGGACATGTACGGACCGGGCCGCGCCGTGCCGGTTGGAGGAACCACGGTGTCGCTGTTCGGCAAGCACGGGTACCGCCCCTTAATTGATGCGTGCAGTCGGTTTCGTCGCGATATGGCACTGCGACATGGCACTGCGACAGTACTGCTTATGAATGTGCCGTCCGTTTTCATTGTTTCTTGATGTTGTACCGGCTGACGTGCTGACGAGATCGTCGTCACGTGGCTGCTGAGTCGCTGACCCGCGATAAGTATGGAGCCACAAATAAATACAAAATTTCACGAGCCAGATAATCCACAAAACGAGTGTTAACTTTACTCACATTTACAGGTGCGGCCCCTATTGTCAATCCACCACTCGGCTTTTCCGTGCTGTGCAGGTTGTAGGGGGTATCTTGACAATGCTTTACCACTCTGGTCAATGCAAGGTTGGTGAAGGCGGGGGGAGGATGTTAGATGTGGGAGCATAGAAAGTACAGCACAACAGTGGATTTTGCCACACTTCCCTTTGCTACCAACATAGCTCTACAGCGGCCTACAACACCTGTTTTATGCATGGTGGTCAACCTATTGAATAATACTAGTAGGAACCACCTGGTTCCACCAGCCCACAGGGGATTATTGTGTCCATCCGTCCGTCGTGAATCCAAAAATGGGAGGTTTGGGGTTAGGTGGGGAGGGGCTGGGTGGGGAGGGGCTGGGTGGGGAGGGGCTGGGTGGGGAGGGGCTGGGTGGGAGGGGCTGGGTGGGGAGGGGCTGGGTGGGGAGGGGCTGGTCACCCCGTGGTGCCCTTATAAAACTCAACGTTTAACCTACTCACACCGGCTTGTGCCCGCCCTCACAGTCAGCCATATTTGCGGAATACACCACGCCTCCGTTGACCCTGGCCATTGACCGAGCAACCCAACGTTCCTACCAGCTCCCTCCGCAGGAATGTATTTATCCATACCCAGGCTCAACCCTGCTTGTCTTCCGTAGACCTGACAAGAGTGGACTCTAATGAGGGCACTAATAGTCGTTAGAAAACCAGCATCAGTGAAAGCCCATGGAATATTCAGATATTTATTCAAGCAGCCAAACTTTGGACTGGTTTTTCTGTTTTTTTTACTTGAGTGTGGCCTAATGAAAAAAAACGCTGCTGGGTTGCCAGATGTTCTAGTTTTGTCATAATAACGATGACAGAATGTGTTTGTATTGAAACACGTCTAACATATATTCCCTGTGTGCATTCGTGACGTTATTAAGCCAATAGTACATAAAATATCAGTGGGCTTTGCAGATATGAAAATTACACGAAATTGCTTGTAAATCTTTGAACATATTCACACGTGTCCGTGGGTTGCCATTGGTTTATGCGCATAAAAATTGGATTGTACAGCGTCATAACAACATTGAATCTTGAGTTGAAGCTTTCGTGACTGCAGGAATCCATACTCTTTGGTTCTTTCGGTAAAGCCACATAGGTCGACAAAATAATAGATCATGACGTTTCGATCGCAACGCAAGCGACCGTTTTCAGGTGAGAGTTCACGGTCGCTTGCGTTGCGATCGAAACGTTGTGATCTATTATTTTGTCTACCTACATCACTTTACCGAAAGAACCAAAGAGTAAACATTGTATGCTGTTATGATAACAAATTGAAATGTACAGGTTACTCTGACAGGTTGTCATAGCATGGTATGTGTAAAGGTCAGAGTAATATATACTGAGCAAAAATAAGATGAAAAGAATATTAAGACATTTGACACACTGCATACGTTGGATGAAGCGTTGCCGCTTGGCTCTTCCAAACCAAAGTGAGTACTCGTAATAAGAATAATACAGGCAAAAGGTGATTTTTCGACCACAAAAGGTGCCATTTTAACCACAAGAGCGGTCCTTCCCTCATGCTTTGCATTTCGGCAGAAGGCATGAAAGTCTTTTTGTGGAAGGGGGTTGGTGGGCAGAGGCTGCGCTATGGATAACGTACTCGAGAAATGTTGGAACGTACGCAGGGATCGTTAGTGCCACGTTCTGGTGGCAAACCATGCACGTGCACAACGTGGCGATTAGTGGTCTTAATTGGGGGTGGGGGGAGGAGGCAGCGCGCCACCCTACCGAAAGTTTGACAACCACTCGTTTAAAGTGAGTACTGTACTGGGGTGCTCCGTAAATGACTCGCTTAACGCCGTCGCGACGGCAGGCTGTTCCGACAGGGCATGCACGACCTGCGTGTGTGGCCAGGAGTGGAGGCAGATGGTTCTAATCCGTCCACAACTCCTGGCAAGGCGGGCAGCTCGCAAGGGGACGATCAAATGAGTCGGCTCGCTAAGGTACACACAACCGAACCGAGTTCGTGCTCAGTGACAAGTTTTTGATTTTTTTTCTTCCGCAGCTGCAGGCCAATGTTGTCAACTTGACAGCTGAAATCGCCTGAGCTTTTAAAATCAGTAATAAGGAGAGAGGGAGGTGGGGGTGTGGGGTGGGGAGGGGTTGCAGATGAGATTAAGCTGAGAAGGGAAAATGTGTTGTTCATCCCGTTGTGTCTACACAGGCAATTATCGAGCGCCGCGTAACATTTCCATTATGCAGCGTGGAAAGATTGAACCATTTTAATTCGGCGAAATACTCGAGCAAACATCAAACAGCAAATGCAACAGAACATTGTAGCATTTTGCAGACAACTCAATTGACATTTGCAGTTTTTTTTGTTAAACCCATATCATTATTTATTTGCACAAAGAGACAGAACTTTATTTGCCAGGTGCATAATAATAACAGTCAGCTGTGGCTTGCCCATAGTAGTGGTAAAATTGCTCCTTGGCAGACCTTTTCCTTTGCACATGTGGATGTAGCTTTCCTGTTTTCTAGCATGCGCACACGGCCCTGTACTCTCGGCTTGCGCGCAATATAGCGTGCGATTATGAGACGTCTCTGCTCATATAGAAGGACATGCGCGTTCGATGCACACATGCAACTTATTACGAGTGTGTTTCTATACTCACTGCTCATATTCTTCGATTTAGCAATGTTTTGAGTGTGCTGACTTAACCGGTTTGGAATACGTTGGCCACAGTAACTATTGGCATGCATTATAAAGGGAACGTGCTAGTGCATAGATTATTATAAATGTGTAGTATTGGTGAATCCTCAAATCTTTTGTTTAACTATATATATGCACACACACACATGTTGTATTTATGATATTTTATTTACACGCATGAAGAGTTTTAATTCAACTATCGGCATGATGAGTTTCATTTTTTTTAATAATTGCAGTTTGTCAGTCCACCTGTGCTGTGTCGGTAATGAGGTTTGTTTTAACCATACTTCACCACACTGGTCAGTGCGGGTTAATGGAAGCGGTGACCAGGAGCAGGTAAGATATTACTCACCACTGATATTAGCCGTGGTAATCAAACGCGGGTATCCCAAGCTCAGCACAGTGCTCTGACCGTTTGTGAAAACCCCCACCTGAAGTTAATCAGAATCAGAATATTGATTCATACTGGAGAAATCCGATGAGCTATGAAGTTCTTATTCAGAGATGCTACAGTCTCCTTAACCTAGCTTCGTTTCAAATGGCTCACAGCAGTCAATATCTGATCCTTCCTCTCGGTCGAGTCAGACTAAAATTAGATCCCGTTTTAAATATGGGACACGAGCACTAGTAAGACAAAGGCAAAGAGACCCGTTATTGTCTGTCTTTCCATTTCGATATGCCTCGCTTGGCCTGTAATTTGTAAATATTTTCCAACTGCCTGTTGGCTCACCAAAATACGTTTCGATGTATGCCGCATAGGCCTCGGCAAGGTAAGGTAAAAGGTAAAAACAACGAGCCTACGTTTACCCTACCTTTTACCCTAACCTAATACAAAATACCTGATTGCAGGGTAATTACTGGGGTACTACACATGAAAAGGTTTATAACAGGTAAATGCTAGGTAGAACGCTTTATTCATATCGAATGCTCTCGATGATACAATTTTACATGGAGGCCACAGACTGCGCCACGGAGCTTTTAGCGAGCGGTAAACAAGATATTTACCGGGTAATACTTCACGCTACCTTTACCCTACCCTTTACCTTACCCCTTGGCATGTCGACACCTTTACCCTTTTACCCGGCAAAAAGGGTAAATTACCTTACCTTGCCGAGGCCTAATACCACATTTTTCTGTGCAGGCAATTGAATGCAAATCCAGTACAACGTCGCATATCTGACTAGCCATGGACTGAGGTACAGGCGGACATGTGAAAATGTTGTGTATGTGAATATCTATGTTGAACGACAGTTACATCGTGCAAAAAATACTGCACTGGGGTGGGCGGTTAATTGGTCAGGGCGGATATGTGACTGATGGTCGGATGTGTGGCGCAGTACTGCACCGTGTGTGTTTGTTCTACTTCAGTCCACACGTGTGTGTGTGTGAATACTACCAGGAATAACCCTGTAACAACTTTTTGATCAAATCTGGTTGTAAAATTCAATTCTGTATTTCATATACATATATGTCAACTTGAAATGGCCAATTGTTTTCTTAACTCAGGAGGAAGAGAGAATGATGGAAGTAAGTGATATATACCTCTGGCATTTTTCTTCATTTCACGTCGCTAACAGCATTGTGAAATACAGAACTGCGTGAGACACTTGAGGTTCTTGCATCATTAACAGGGCTGCGTCATACTAACTGCTATGCAGCGAATGCGATATGTTTATAGCCGAGTGCACTCGTTAATTTGTTTAGATTTTATTGATTACTAAATGAGTTTCAAATTGTTTAAAGTAAAGAATCCCGTGTATTGCTTGTCAAACGATTTTAAAGACTAACATATTGCAATTGGCACAAGAAACTAATTAGAATAATTAAAATGTATGGGCGGTAACAATCACTTTTAAATGCTGCTATTAATAGTCGGCATTTAATGATCCAGTGATTAAAAGGTGTATTCTCAGACTCCTAGTACATGTGTTGCATTTTAGATAAGGGAATGCATTATTTTCCGATTATGCACATTTCATCCAAATGATTCCTTAAGGAATGTACGTGACAGAACAAATACTACAATACAAACAAAGTGACAGACTACGAAAAGAATGGTCGAGATGAGATGGGACTATCCAAACAAGAAAGACGATACAAATAGAACAACGGGACAGAAAGAACAACAGACAATACAAAGTTGACGGTACGGACGGCACAGGCAACACAAACAAGGCGGTGCATCTGAGGCGTACCATACAAGCGGGAGAATACAAATGAGATGACAAAATATTGCTTTCATCTCGAGTTTATTTGATTTGTTACACGGATGGTGGTCCCGTTTGGCCAGTTTCCCGGCTATTTTACACGGGAGATCCGTGCCGCTCCGTGAGCGCATCGGCAAAACAAAGACAACGGCATTAACGTTGCAGAGAGAACGGCCTGCAGCGTCTTAAGGAATGTCCGCACGACGAAAAAATTAGGCCGAATCAAATCGTGACACCAAATAACGACGGATGAAGCGGAGATCTTCGCTTTCATCGCTGCTCGGCGCGTACAGTGCACGCGCATTTTTGCCGCGGTCACAATACGCCGTTGTGTGATTGTCTCGGTGTTCGCCGCGCCAAAAGAAAGGTGGGAGCCAAAGAATACAAAGCAAAGATAGATGTGTGTGGAATGGGAACCAGGAGCTCCTCTCGTCAAGGAGCATAAACCATCAAGCAAACTCCGCTCATCCTTGCAACAGCGGCTTTTGGCTAACCCTCGATCAGAGATGGTCACTGCATCGCCGCGCTTTCAGATGCGATTCTGCGGCCGTCTGGAACGCTCTTCCTTCTCATTAGGAAACCACTGCAGCTATGCACTTTTAAATCATCGAGATTGAACACTCATTTCTTTCGAACCGCTTTTTGCGCTTAGTTTGTTGTCCTTTCTCCGCACCTCCGATTAGCACGGTTGCCTACATACGATGCGAAAGAAGTTCAACGTACATACATTCATCCGCTTTTAATTTAAGAGAGCTTTTTTTAAAAATAAAATGCTGTTGAGGTTCACCCGTCGAGGGATATTGTAACAAGTCTTTGTGTGAACTTTATAATTATCCAAACCTTTGCAGAGGATAAAGCATATGCGCGCTCTTACATGTAATCACGGCTCTTGATCATAATTTTCAGCGAAAGGTTTTTCTTGTTTCAAAGGAAATTATGCAATTAAATTCCACGCAAACGACATCAAATGAATACACGCGTATGCTAATGACTGTTCTTACCCCTCAAGTGTGTGTGCTACTCACAATGGCTGTGTAATTGATTTTCAGCTCAGGTGATATTTTGTTCTCATCTATATTTCAAAGGAATTTTGATTGTGGCCTTCACGACATCGTTTGCTTCCCCATTAATAGAACTCTTGAATTAAAGGGCCTTCACAGTGGCAGTCACAAATCAAGACAGAAATGATCAACAGTGGTTTTGACTTCACTAATCGGCACTCTAAATGAATACCGCAATTTTTTCTAAAAAAAGTGTTTTTCACAGCGTGAGATAACATCGACTGTCCACTTTGTGCTGCCATTTGCGGTTGTGAAAATTGATTTTTTTTTTAACAAAAGTGGTCGACATTTTACGCCGCACTCATTCCTTCTATTTGTCTCGAAGAACTGGAAGATGAGAGCCGTTTAATATTTAATTATTTAAGCTCCCACAATCTTGGCATCAAATTAAAGTTAAAACTGTTCTCTAGAACCACGTAATTGTTTTCACTTGAAAATCCTATTGCTAACTTCCAAAGCAGTGAACCATCTTGTCCCAGCCTACATCATTAACATGCTGCACCCATATGTCCCCTCAAGGTCCCGAAGATGTGGGGATGCAGATCCTCTCTGCATTCCCAGGTCGAGGTTTCAGCTTATGGGTGACCGAGATTTTCCCCCTGTAGCCCCCAGGCTATGGAACACTGAACCGCGAGATATAAGGATCCCTCTGAGTCTGTGGGCATTTTTAAAATGCGTCTTAAAACCTATTTATACGCTTCCGCTTTTTAAATTGTAGTAAAAAAAATAATGTATTTATAATATACATTTTTATGCTGAGTGCTGCTGTGATTCTTTATGAAAAGCGCTATATAAATGGAATTATTATTTACTTTCAAACGTTTGTAGTTTTTTTTTTATTCTCCCATAAAACAATTAAAAAATACGTCTGCTGAAGAGATGGTAACACACACATTTGCTCGTAAATTAATCGTTAAACCTGACGAAGCGTAACTTTACGTACCGTATTCTCCAAGGCTATGACACACTCCAGAAATTACGACGCACCCAGAAATTGTGCCCGGTGCCAAGTAAGTTATACA